CTGAATAAATCAATCACTGTTTTAAAAAAAATATTTCCAAGGGGTGTCTCGGTGGCACAGTCAGTTAAGCATCTGACTCTTGGTTTCAGCTTAGATCATAATCTCAGGGTCATGTGGTCAAGCCCAGGGTCAGGCTCCACACTCAGCAGAGAATCTGCTTGAGACTCTCTCTCTCTCTCTCTCTCTCTGTGTGTGTGTGTGTGTGTGTGTGTCCCTCCCTCCTACTCTTTCTCTCTCTCTCAAATAAATAAATATTTTTAATATAAAAAAATAAACTTAAAAAATATTTCTCAGCTGCACCATGGGGGAATTAAGAAAGCTGCTGGGGCCAGTAAGAAACTCCTTAGGGGAAAGTTACATAGTAATTTAAATTAGAAAATTACATAGTAGAAAGAATACAGTTTTCGTAATCAAAGAAACAGGTTCAGCTTCATATTTCCTGATTTCGAACTGTATTATAAAGTTACCATAATCAAAAATAGTATAGTTATTTGCATGAAAAGAGGCACATAGATCAAGAAAACAAAAAACCCAGAAATAAACTCATGCATATAGTAAGGTCAATTAATTAATAAGAAAGGAGCCAAGGATATACAATAAGGAAGGGAGAGTCTCTTCAACAAATGGTGTTGAAAAAAACTGGACAGCCTCATGCAAAAGAATGAAACTGGATCCCTATCTTACACCACATACAAAAATCAACTAAAATGAATTAAATCAACTAAATGAATTAAAGGCTTAAATTGAAAATCTGAAACCATAAAACTCTTAAAAGAAAACATCAGTGGACATTGATCTTGGCAATGATCTTTTGGATTTGATGCCAAAAGCAAAGTGAAAATAAACAAGTGGCACTACATCAGACTTGAAAGCTTCTGTACAGCAAAAGAAACAATAAAAAAATAAAAAGTCAATTCAAATGATGTATATGATAAAGTGTTAATGTCCAAAATATATAAAGAACTCCCACTCAATGACATAAAGCAAATAATTTGATTTAAAAATAGGCAGAGGAACTGAATAGGTATTTTCCCAAAGAAGACATACAAATAGCCAATAGATACATGAAAAGGTGTGCAATGTCACTAATCATTAGGGAAATGCAAATTAAAACCACAATAAATAACATTACAGCTGTTAGAATGGCTCTTCTCAAAAAGAGATAACAAGTGTTGGCGAGGGATCCCTGGGTGGCGCATTGGTTTGGCGCCTGCCTTTGGCCCAGGGCGCGATCCTGGAGACCCGGGATCGAATCCCACATCGGGCTCCCGGTGCATGGAGCCTGCTTCTCCCTCTGCCTGTGTCTCTGCCTCTCTCTCTTTCTCTCTCTGTGACTATCATAAATAAATAAAAATTTTAAAAAAAATTAAAAAAAAAAACAAGTGTTGGCGAGGATGTGGGTACCCTTTAGCATTGTTGGTGAAAATGTAAACTGGTGTGGCTACTATGGATAACATCATGGAAGACCCTGAAAAAATTAAAAATAGAACTTCCACGTGATCCAGCATTCCCATTTCTGGGTATATATCCAAAGGAAATGTAAGTTAAATAGGATATCTAAGAGATATCTGCATTTTCATATTCATTACAGCATTATTCACAGTTACAAAGATATGGAAACAACCTAAGTGTCCATCAGCAAAAGAATGGATAAAGAAGATGTGGGATGGATAGATAGATAGATAGATAGATATGATGATGTGGAATATATATATATATATATATATATATATATAAAGGGATTTTATTCAGCCATGAGAAAGAAAGAAATCCTGCCATTTACAGCAACATGGATGGCATAATGCTAAGTGAATTAAGTTATAGAGAGAAAGACAATACTGCATGGCATCATTTGTATGTGGAATCTAAAGAGAAAGTCAAATTCATTGGAACATAAAGTAGAAAAGTGGTTGCCAGGCCTAGGGGGTTGGGGAGGGTAGAAAGAATAGGGGGAGGCTGATAAAAGGGTACAAACTTTTAACTATAAAATGAGTAGCCCCACCCCCACACCCCTGCGGGCCGGGGGACAGCGGGGTCCGGGACATAAAAAAAAAAGAAAAAGAAAAAGAAAATGAGTAGGGATCTGTGGTACCTGTCTGGCTCAGTTGGTAGAGCATGCAACTCTTTTTTTTTTTTAAGATTTTATTTATTCATGAGAGACGGAGAGAAAGGCAGGAACATAGGCAGAGGGAGAAGCAGGCTCCCCGCAATGAGCCCATGATGGGGCACCCAGGGATCACGCTGTGAGCCAAAGATAGATTCTCAACCACTGAGCCACCCAGGTGTCCCAAACATGCAACTCTTGATCTCAGGGTTGTGAGTTCAAGCCCCATGTTGGGTGTAGAGATTACTTAAAAACAAAATCTATAAATAAGTTAAATAAATAAGTAGAGTACAGATCTAATGTATAGCATAGTGAGTATACTTGGTAACACTGTATTTTATAATTAAAATTTGCTGAGAGTAGAAGTTGAATGTTCTTACCAAATATATACATATATACATGATTATAAAATATATGCATTACTATATAAAACTTAAAAATATGTAAGATGATGGATGTGTTAACTAAATGGGAGAGATCTTTTCACAATGTATACACATATATCAAATCATGACAATGTATACTTTAAATATCTTCTAATTTTACATCAATTATAACTCAATAAGTCTGAAAGAGAAAGAGAGAGAAAGAGACCAGGTTCAAGTACTGGCTTGGCCTCTTCCTACCTATGCTAACCTTGACATGTCACCTATCTTGGTAGAGGCTACCCATCCAAGATAGCCTTCAGCACCATGACATTACCCTACTGCCTCAGGCTGATGCCACTACTTACCAAGAAAGCAATGGGCAAAAAATGATCCAGGGGGGATCCTGGCTTCATCAATGTGTATTCCTTCAGTTGTATTTTTGTTTTGTATCTTGAGGCTCATATTCTGCGGGTCTCTACCTCTAAGTTCCTCACCCAGTAGGCAGACTTTAATCAAAACTTAATAATGTATTAGAGACATACTACTCCAAAGCATTCCATACTATTCCAAAGCAATCTCAGCATCCCTAAAATCACCTCTGATCTAGAATCCCCTCAGGACAATGTGAGCAATAAGACAGGTAAACCTAGAATGTTCCTCCCTCCAGCTCTCTAAAAGTTGCACATGATGCCTTCCCTTGCCAAGGCACCATTGCCTGTCTATACCAGTACCGAACACCCTTCTGTTTCCCAAAGAATCCTCACATAGATGAATATATGCTGATATGGAAGCATCAAAACCAATATTTTAATGGTTTCAGAAGCTGTCCTCATTTTCAACCATTAGCTCAAAAAAGGAAGCAATGAGCTCAAGACCTTAAAGTGAGATAAACCTATAAGGAATTTTTTAAAGGGTTGGAGTTATTTACAAGGGTTAGTAAATGTATGAAGATTGTTAGTGAGAAAATAAACTGATGCAACTTCCTTGGAGTGGAGGGCAATTTGATGCTGTCATCATTTGCCAGCTGTGTGATGCTGAATTCTATTTTCCTTCCAGGCAAAATGGAGCTCTAATACCTACCTTCCAGTTTTGTTTCAAAGATTAAATGTGACAGAGGGTCCCACACATAGTTTGTACTTAACAAGTATTACCTCCTGCCTTAATCATCTTGGGCTGCCTTAACACAATACCACAGACTGGGCAGCTTAAACAACAGAATTATATTTCTCATAGTTCTGGAGGCTGGAAGTCAAGATCAAGGTGCCAGGAAGATAATTCATTCATAGTCTTCTTTTCTTGGGAAGGAGGGAGGGAGAAAGATGGCAGGTGGGGGGCGGGGCATAGATTAAAAAAGAGTAGGAGGGAGAAATATTGAAAGAGAGAGAGAGAGATGGAGGGGGAGAGAGACAGGGAGAGAGGAGGAAAGAGATTACTCTCAGTGTCTCTTTTTATAAGGGCACTAGTCTCATCATGAGGACCCTATCCTCATGATCTCATCCAACCCTAAATATCTCCAAAAGGCCCCACCTCTAAATATCACCCCTTTGGGTTTAGAGCTTCAACAAATGAATCTGGAGGGGACACAAACATTTGATCTGTTACATCATAACGTGCATAAGCAACATTTTAAAAAAGGGAAAGATATTTGCTCAGACTTTGATTTCTTTTGATGTCTGACTTGAGACAGATGCTAAGAAATCTATTCCAGGATATCAGGTTTAAGCTGGGATTTCATTTTTAAGTTGGAGAATATATTCTAGGGTTTTCTTTTTTATGCCCTAAGGCAGGAGCAGTATCATCCTACCATGCACATAGCAGGTTTATTATCCCTCTCAGAAGGTATGAGAAGGAACTGTTTCCTTTGATCCATTACAGAAACAATAAAAAGTTCAGGAATGGGGAGCTTGGGCCATGGGGCCAAAAAGCCTAGTGGGTTTTGGCCATAAGATAGTTCCTATAATGCTTAGCTAAAATTTGTCTTAGACTTTCTTGGCAAACTATCCAGGAGGTGGAAACACACTAGTGATCTTTCACACACCTGCCTTTATTCTGGTCTGAATTTAGTCACCTTAGTAATAATGAGAATTTTCCATTAGAATGACTTACTTTAATCCCCAAATTCTAACTTTAAACCTTGCTAGGCTAAGCAAAAAAAAAAAAAAAAAAAAAAAAAGCCAGACACAAAAGAGTACCTGCTGTGTTTCCATTAATATGAAGTTCTAAAACAGGTAAAACTAATCTTTGATGCTAGAAATCAGGACTGTGGTTCCCTCAAGAAGGGCAGGAATTGAATTAAAAGGGTCACCAGGGAATTTTCTGGAGTAATGGAAATATTCTATAGCTTGAGGGCTTACACATTTGTCAAATCTCACCAAGTTGCCCTTAAGATCTGCTCATTTCACTGTAAATAAAACCTCAGTTATAAAAAGTGACTATATGAATTTAGGTTCTTTTGTATCAAGTGGAATGTAATTATGAGAATTATGTGCATTTTTCCTTAGAAAGATCTGTCAGAAATCTTGATTCACATTTTTATATAGTCTTCAGTAGCAAACAGGAGTATGGATTGGGATAGAAGCCATGTGTTCCTCAGGTATTCTCTCTGCATTTCTGTAGCCATCCATAGAACAGCAGTTCTCACTGGGAAGAGAGGGACAGTGGAAATTAACACTTTTTAGTGGGGTATATCAGAGTTACCAGGCTGTTTTTCTAGTATAGGTATGGGCTATCTCCCAACTTTACCCCCAAAGATTCTCTTGTGATGTTCCCCCTTAAGAACCACTCCAAAGTGTGCCACTCTTATTAATGTTGTACCCCTCAAGGATGTTGAGTAAAAGCTCTTGATTATATGCAGTTGGGTCATTCAGGTAGACCAACCTCTGCCTCTCTTTCTTACTGCCATCTACCAACTTCCCAAGTATTCTTCTTAATTAACTGACAATGATAGGACCTGCATCTTTTTTTTTTCAATTTTAAAGCACTTGAATTAATATAATATGGGGTTTCTTTTTTCTTTTCTCTTCCCAAAATCTATTACTAAATTGTATGTCTTTTTTTTATTGGGGTTCAATTTGCCAACATATAGCATAACACCCAGTGCTCATCCCATCAAGTGCCCCCCTCAGTGCCTGTCACCCAGTGACCCCCATCCCCCACCCACCTCCCTTTCCACCACCCCTAGTTCATTTCCCAGAGTTAGGAGTCTCTCATGTTCTGTCTCCCTTTCTGATATTTCCCATTCATTTTCTCTCCTTTCCTCTTTATTCCCTTTCACTATATTTTATATTCCCCAAATGAGTGAGACCATATAATGTTTGTCCTTCTCTGACTGACTTATTTCACTCAGCATAATACCCTCCAGTTCCATCCACGTCGAACCAAATGGTGGGTATTTGTCATTTCTCATGGCTGAGTAATATTCCATTGTATACATAGACCACATCTTTATCCATCATCTTTCGATGGATACTGAGGCTCCTTCCACAGTCTGGCTATTGTGGACATTGCTACTAGAAACATCGGGGTGCAGGTGTCCTGGCATTTCACTGCATCCGTATCTTTGGGGTAAATCCCCAGCAGTGCAATTGCTGGGTCGTAGGTCAGATCTGTTTTTAACTCTTTCTCTCTACCCCAGTCACTATCATAATTCTGGGTGGTATCAAGATTCATATAAATGAGCCATCCAGAAACACAGACTTGGACCTCTATAATTTCAGTGGCTGTAACTTCTACTCTACTTGGCTAAGTCATGCCTAGAAACTTACTATCATGTGGAGCTGCACCAGATCAGAAATTCCAAATTCCATTATTCCACAATGGGCCTTAATATCTATGTTATTCTTCTACTTCCTTTGTGCCTTCATTCCCATTAAACCTACTTTTCAACTGCAGAGACCTCCAGCTCTTTAAACCCACAATTTTTTTCCGAGTCTATGAAGACCTTCTGAAGGTCTCTTGCTAACCTAATCTGTAATATATAATTGATTGTCTCAATTATTCTTGACCAGTATCTTTGACACATTTTGTTAATATGCTTTCCCTGCTACAGCAACTATACAGTAAATCTCTAGCCTAAGATCAATGCAACATTACTGCTTATATATCTCATTATTCTTGTGTACACATGTCCCTTAGTAACACCTGGTGACCCTTTTACTTGCTCTTTAGACTGCTTTCCAACCTCCTCAAGAATTATTCCGAACATTTGCCATTCTCCCCAAAACCCTCAGCAGATCACCTAGGCTCCTATATCATGGAGAAACTGAAATCATTAAGCTCACTCTCCATTAGCTTCTTGCTTTCAGACAGCAGTTTTAATGCATTTTCTATCTCACATTCTTATTCATATCTGTACCCTTGACTCCTTTCCCAAAGTCTAAGAACACAAGGTAAACCCAAGGTACCTCTAGGTCAGTGCCAACACTTAACTCACCCCCTTCTCCTTTGACACTTTATCAATCATCTTGTTTTTGTTCAAATATTAATCTCTTTCTTCCTACCTCTTCCTCTCTTCAGCCTATAAACATGCTCATGTCAGGCCCATGTTAAAAACAAATCATCTGGATCCCATGACTTATTCTAGCTACTATTTATCTTATCATCACCATATTATTAAGATTATATTTTTGGGCAGCCCCGGGAGGCTCAGCAGTTTAGCGCTGCCTTCAGCCCAGGGCCTGATCTTGGAGACAAGGGATTGAGTCCCACGTTGGGCTCCCTGTATGGAGTCTGCTTCTCCCTCTGCCTGTATCTCTGCCTCTCTGCCTCTCTCTCTCTCTCTCTCTGTCTCATGAATAAATAAATTAAAATCTTTTTTAAAAAAAGATTATATTTTCTTAGTATAACAATGGTTTTAATTGGTAAATCTTGTATTTTAAATCTCAATTTCACTGGACCACAGAGAAACTTTAACTGATCACCCTAAAATAAACACTCAAAAATCGTAAGAACTAATAAACAAGGTTAGCAAGGTTGCAGGACACAAGGTCTACATGCAAAAATCAATTAGTTTATATATATATCACCTTACACTTGTCACAATGGCTAAAATCAAAAAGACAAGAAATAATGAGGTTGCTGGGGATGTGAGAAAAAGGAACCCTTGCACTTTGTGGGTAGGAATATAAATCAGTGCAGCCACTGTGGAAAACAATGTGGAGGTTCCTCAAAAAATTAAAAATAAAAATACAGTATGATCCAATAATTTCATTACAGAATACTTACCCAAAGAAAATGAAAACACTAATTTGACAAGATATATGCATCACTATTTTATTGTGGTATTATTTACAATAGCCAAGATATAGAAGCAACCTAAGTGTCCATTGATAGATGAACAGATAAAGATGTGGCACACACACACACACACACACACATACACACACATAAACAATGGACTATTACACATCCATAAAAAAGGATGAGATCTTGCCATTTGAGACAACACAGATTGACCTAGAGGATATTATGCTAAGTGAAATAAGTCAGACAGAGAAAGACAAATACCATATTGTGTCACTCAAATATGGAATCTAAAAAAAACAAAACAAATGAATAAACAAAAAAAAGGCAGAATCATACCTATAAATATAGAGAACTTATGGTCCTGAGGGCAGGGGTGGGGACACTGGGAAATACCAACTTCCAGTTATAGAATTAATAAGCCATGGGAATAAAAGGTACAGCACAGGAAATAAAGTCAGTGATATTCTAATAGCATTGTATGGTGACAGATGGTAGCTACACTTGTGGGGAGCATAGCATAATGTGTAGAGATGTTGAATCACTATGTTGTATGCCTGAAACTAATGTAATATTGTGTATTAACCATACTCAAATAAAACAATTGAAATAAAAAACAATTATTCTATTTCTATACATGAGAATGCAAAATCCAAAAATGAAAGTTAGAAAACAATCCCACTTATAGTAGTATTAAAAGAATAAAATATTTAGGAATAAATTTAACAAAAGAGGTTTGATATTTGTACACACAAAATTGTAAAATATCATTGTAAGAAATCAGAGAAGACTTAAATAAATGGAAAGATATCAGATATTTAAGAATTGGAAGACACTATTATTAAGGTAGCAAAGTCCCCAAATTGATCTAAAGATTCAATGCAGTCCATTTCAAAACCCCAGCTGGCTTCTTTCAGAAAATGACAAGATGACCCTAAAATTCATGTGGAAATGCAAAGAAAGCAGAATAACCAAAACAAACTTAAAAAAGAATAGTAGATTCGGGGGACTTACGGTTTCTAATTTCAAAACTTACTACAAAGCTAATGTAAACAAGATACTGGCACAAGAGTAGACATATAAATAGACAGTAGAATGAAAGTCCAGAAATAAACTCTTACATTTATAGTCAATCGACTTTTGACAAGGATGTCAAAAGATACAATATGGAAAGAATAGTCTTTTCAATAAATGGTGCTGGTATAACTGCATATGCAAATGCAAAAAAAATGAAGTTGGAACTTCAGGTTTAAGCCCTACATGTAGATAGCTTGGAAATCATCAGACCTAATCTTACATGAAAAAAAAACTGAACAAACTAAAAATTGATGACTTGTCTTGGACTCATGATATTGTGGGGGCAAAGAGCTACCCTGAAATCTGAACATTTAATGGAATCCAGGGGCACTTGGGTGGCTCAGTTGTTTAAGAATCCCATTCTTGATCTCAGCTCAAGTCTTGATCTCAGGGTCATGAGTTCAAGCCCCATATTGGGCTCCACACTGCAGAAGGAGCCTACTTAAAAAGAAATAATGGAATCCTAAGAGTCACTGAAATCTGCTTAGGTGGAGAACTGGAGTCATACATTGATAGGAACACTTTTTGTGGGAATTTCAACAAATTGTTAGAGCTGAGTATGGACTAGTATGAGAGAAAGAGACTCCTGGAGTCCGTGCTCTTTAGGGTCTCTCTTGCTTTCATGGGCTTTACTTCTCAGAACCCCATCAGGTTCTCACAGTGAAGAGCCAAGAAAGATAAGCTCATAGCTCTGACACGTGATGAAGAATTTTTTTTCGAAATAAAGCCAGAATTTCTTCCATAACAAAGTCCTATTCTACAGAAGAAAGATTTTGCCAGAGTCTTATTTTACCTGAGAGAAGTACACTGCCTTGATTCCAGCTCCCTCTACTTTTCATGTCTTACTTAAGGGGTGAAGGGAATCCAAGAAACACTTGTGAAGGACACAACCCAGGGACCTAAAACACTGATATTTAACCATACAATTACAGAATGCTACCCCTTCCCAACACCTTACCACCACAAAAACAGACTCTGTCTAAGGAAGAGAAATTCTAGGACAACAAGGGGAGACAAAAACAAAGACACTATAGAAATTTGAAGCTTCTGTCACCTACAGCTACAGCAAAATTAAACACAGCCCAACTCATAGTAGACCTACTCGACTTCATTTATTTTAATCATTCCTAAATTTACTCACTCTATTATAAACTCTTTTATTGAACATGTGATTGGTTACATGGCAAAAGACACCTAACCTCTCTAATATTTTTCACATTATATAAATAACTATATTATCATATCATTTACATCTCTGCCTATCTTATTGCCCCAATTGTTGAAGTCCTTTAAGGACAACATCTGTGTTTCACTTTTCTGTACCTTCTGTGGGTAGCCTGAGTGCTAAGTGAGTGAGTGTGTGTATAAATGAATGAATCAATAAGCATAAGATTTTCTTTGGAGTGACCAGGGAATCCTTGGGGAGGAGGTACTGCAGTTCTAATTATTATTGCTGTAATAGAATTTCCTTGGTCTTAGACATCTGCCTCCAGGGAAGGAGTGTGGTACAATGGGGAATGGTCTAGAAACAGAAAATCTGCTTTCTAGACTTGGATGTGCCATGAGGTAGCTATGTGGCCTTGGAGAGCTCAACTCTGGGCTTTTTGCAGATCTGTAAAATAAACACTCCTTTCAGTTCTATCATTCCAAGATTCTTGAAGCCAGTGGTCCCTATTAAAGTGGGGAAAAAATCACTGAAGTAAACTCTGAGTGTAGAAAATGAATATTCTTTTTCTTATATCCTCTAATAGCTAGGACTTCTTAAATGCCTGCTATATTCAGGCACTGTTTTAACTGCATCGCCTATATTAACTTATTTAGTTTATTCCTATGAAATAAAACTACTTTATCCCTCCTTCATGTGTGAGGTACAGAAAGGTTATGTGACTTACATAGCTGGTGGCAGAATGAACTTCAGCTCCAGGCAATCTGGCTCCAATAGGTGTGTTCTTGATCCTAATGTTTCTCCTATGCCCAAGGGTAGCACCAGTCTTCTGCCCTTGGAACCAATGGCCTCTTCTATCACCATATGGTTCATTTGAAAGATTAAACTCTTGCCTCCCTGGAAAGTGATAATTCAGAATGATGTTGGGAAAAGACACCCTTCCCAATAGAGCAAAGACATATTTGCTAACGCCCTCATTTGGGGCAAGGGCCTTTGTTTTATTTGACATTACCAGCCCTGGATTGGGAAATCAACCTGCGGAGAAGCTTTTGAACTGACTTTTGGACAGAATGCTGTTATTTTCCCAAAACCCTATCAAACATGAGGTTTAAAGGGGGAGTCCTTTCATTACAACATCACCTAGCTTCCTCCTGCTGACAGGGTTCTGTTTGCTTCAATGTCAGAGAAGGCTTCCTCTATGGGTTCTTCCACAGGAACTGGATTTAGGAAGCTGCCATAACACTGCTTCCTCCCATTCCTCAGCTCAGTCCAACAGTATATCATCTATGAGAGACTTGCTTAAATGGTTAAACAGCCTTTTAAAATGGGGTTAGGAAGAATAAGTAAACAGGAACTTCCCATCACATGAAACATGTACTTTGAATCCAACAAAGTATACAAAGTAACAGGTAAGATAAAGGTAAATCTAGAACTAACAAAGATTGGGATCAACATTCAGTGTTGCTGGGCCTTCTTCCTGTTATTCCAGCCACATATTTCCACCTCATTCTTCTTTCTGGTCCTTCTCTTTGCTCCCCTTATTTCTTCTCCCCACCTGTCCTTTCCCATAATACTGTATTATTGTCACATTTCCCCCTCCTAGGTCACTGAGGAAAAGAGCCTCATATGAGTGCATATAAAAAACCCTGAATATCCATATATGGATAGCATATGCTTACACTTTGAGTTTTTTCATCTATGTAATCATTCATGCATACATTCAACAGATGATGATTCATTGCCGGTTCAGTCTTAACTTTCTTACCCTACCTCCTCATACCTTAGGAAAGTGTTTCCCCAAGGACAGCGGACTTAGCTAGAGAGGCCCAAGGTAGCAGAAATTGGGGCATATTCTCAAGAGTCTACCACTGATCATGGATTCAGCGTTTGATAGAAGCCAGGTCTACAAATTACAGCCTTGAAAAAAAAAAACAAACAGATGTTTGGGAAAACTAGCAGAAACAAAGATCTTCCTGTCTGGTGCTTTTAATGTCTTTCTGGAACTTTCTTTTGGAGCTCTGGAAAAAACTCAAGTACAGGGAGGAATCAAACAGTGTCCCTCTGTCAGTACCTGTTATCTGTTCACTGAAGAAGCCATACAAACTTGGGAAAATTTTCCAGTGCCACGCTATCATCCAATGACTCATAGAATATCATAGACGTGAGATTATACATGAAGTATAGTCACACCTCATAAGAGGTATGGCTTTTGACCAACCTTATTATACTGTTTATCAGTATTCATTGAGCACCTTCTAGGCATTCAGACTGATGTTAGGTGCATTTCTGCCCCTTTGGGCTCTTAGAACTAAGTTGGAGAGACTAGACAGATGCAAATCAGATAATGGATGCAGCAATATAAAGTGGAAACAGTCCATGATCTGGAATCTTAAGTCTGGATATGGCTCTCAACTTTACCACTTGTTAGCTGTGAAATACAGTTAAACCTACTTCAGAACTGTTGTGTGTGCTTTGTATGTTATGTAAACTATGTATGAAGAGAAAATATTTTTCTGGTTTTTAGAAAAGAATGTGAAGCAGGGTAGGATTCCTTGTCAGGTTACTACAATCCCATGAGGTAAGCTAGTGTTTTGCAAACAAAAAGTAACCACCCATTGGTGGATCATGAAATCAATTAAATCGGTGGTGACCAGCATTTTTTTTTAATGAAATAGAACAGAACAGAAAATATCAGAGTGCACCACATATAGTAAGGGTAATTTTTGTTTCAGGCACTTTTATCTCGATTACATATATTTATGTATACTGTATTGTGATGGGGAAATAATTTCTTAGTATGGGTCACTTTCAAAAAGTTTGCAAAATGCTGAGAAGACTGCATGCCCTCTCCATTCCGGTGTCCATAAAATTATTTGGATTCATCCTTGTTACCCCTCTAATGACCACTAGTTAGATTTCTAACTCAATCAATCTAGTAATTATTGATTTCTATACTTGCTCAGCCCCATGGAGCAGTACCTATAGAGATCCTGTGCTCAAGGATCGAACCAGGAAGGAGAATGACTAAAAACAACTGGAGACAATTTTGAACATTTAAATGCTGCATGGGTAATAATTCCTCTTCAGTAACAGGAGGTCACAGAAGAGGAGAGGGAGCTCAGATATTAGGGGAGATTTCCAAGAGGTCCATTGAAAGCAAACCCTAGAGAAAGACTTGGCTCACAGAAAAACAAAAGAGAAGTAACTAGAGTAGAGGACAGAGCCTGAGACAAGTGGAGGAGAGCATAGTCTTTCTGAAAAGTCGGCCTGAGCTACCATGTATAGCCATTCTCCCCCTTTTGAGTCCTTGCTTGCCTGGTTGACCCCAACTACCAGCTCTCACCAAGAATAGCTTGGGTCTTCTCCCCCTTAGATCATCTTCCTTTGACTCTGACCCTGGCCAATCCCTAGTTACTATGTGTAGTGACAAATTCCCTGTCAAGACAATTGGTTTTGGACCTGTGTCTCAGTGTACTGCTTCTCTGACTCATTTCAGAGGTTTCTTGATGACACAGGAAGAGTTAACTGTACTATTTGTTGGAGGACAATGATATTCTAATATTCTAATATCATAAAAAAAAGAGCCAAAACCAGGATCAGACTGACAAAAGTGATCTTACTCATGACTTTCCCAGTGCGGTCAAATTGGGGTTGTTGTTGCTTGCATTTGATTGTTACCAGCACCCATATCACTACCCAGCATCCCAGTCTTCTTAGAATCCTTCTCTCCTGAACACAGAGACAAGAAGCAATGGTGAGAGAGCACTAGACCTCAGACATGAGAACACTGAGTTTCTAGGAGGTTTCCTACTGGTGCTCTGGAGCTCCATGTGGATGAAAGCACCAACTCCAACCCCTAGTAAATTATTTATTCCCAAAGTATCTGAAAATCTACTCCAGGTGTATTAGAAAGTTTTGAGATACAGAGATGAATTAAGTATAAATCTGATCCTGTAGCTGTCACAATAAGTATCTTAACTAAGGATTTGTTGGGGTCCAAGGATGGGTTAATAGGGGCTTCAATTATGTGCAAAATTTGCTAGACATTTCTAGGTTTTTATAGTAAAAAGACACTAGCTCTTACCTGCAAAGGGTTCTATGTCCCCTCAAATTTTTTAAATGATTAGTTTTCTCAACTATAGTTTTTATATTTTCTTATATTAAGAATAGTAGTCCTGTAACCATGAATAAAAAGCAGTGGAGGGTGCTTTTGAGTAACACTGGCTTCTATCTGATTTACTACCCCAACATCTACTTGTCAAGTTGGTCAGTTATCAGACCGTAGTGACAGGGTATCACAGCCTCCATGGAAATACATATCCTGTATAAGATTAAAAGTGCTTTGACCAAACCTAAGGGCTGATTCTCATTTTCTGCAAATATAGTATGATATGTCACTAATCCCTGTGACATTTATGCAAGCATTCTAGTTTGTCTCCTACTGTAGCGGCATGTTCAAAACAAGTAAACTGAAGGTAATCAATTTATTGTGCAATGTAGACAACCCCACTATTTCTATCATCATTGTAAAGAGTAGAAGAGTATGGACTGCCTCATGGTGGAGTCTGTCACTAAGATTGCTGCTATTGAGACTATGGAGACAAATGACTAGGTGGGCTGTATCATATCCAGCAAGGCCATGATGTTTCTTTTTGAGTTGGCTCATTGCAATTCAGAGTCCCATTTGGCTAAATGTTATTTGATGTCATTGTGTATATACAAATTTGATTTTGAAAATTTGAACCTGGGATCCCTGGGTGGCGCAGCGGTTTGGCGCCTGCCTTTGGCCCAGGGCGCAATCCTGGAGACCCAGGATCGAACCCCACATCAGGCTCCTGGTGCATGGAGCTTGCTTCTCCCTCTGCCTATGTCTCTGCCTCTCTCTCTCTCTATGACTCTCATAAAATTTAAAAAAAAAGAAAATTTGAACCTAAGCAAATCTAAAATTTATTCTTTGAAAGTGGATATTTCTTTTTGCTTTTGTTGTGGGTGAGGCATTTATTTTTATTTTTTTTCTTTTGCTAAGGATCTTGGAGGAAAGTTTACCTGTAGGAAATGTCCTCTAAGTTACTTAAATAACTCTTACACAATTGTATAAGCTAAATCCAGATGTTTTAATCAGAAGATTAACTGTGACCTAATTTCACAGCTGTAGCTTTCCTAAGTTCAAAGAAGGTTAATTCCATACCTAAATTGGAATGCTTCTTTCTCTTCATAGGAAAATACCTAATTATTTAGAGTAATAAGTTTCTTACAGATAATTAATACTAGCAAATTAATTCATTCTCTTTATAAAGCATTGGTCTGACAATGAGTGAAAAATTTAGGCTGTAGAAAACATAAGTTGTCCTCTATTTATTTCTTCCAATATTCTAAATCAGTAACTATCTCTACTATAATGGGGTCATTACCAATAGAATAATAAAAAGGAGGGAAAGTTAACAGTTATATATATATATGTATATATATATATACATATATATATATAACTTGCTATCAGATAAATTTGATTTTGGAGAGTTGTATAAAAGTTGTATGAAATAAGCTCTGGTTGACTGCTAAAATAATAGAAAATAATGCCTGGCAGCTTCATAACCAGTGAAAACCTAACATGAAAATGTAGAAATATCCACTTAGTTTATGATGCTGCATCTCAAATATACATTTAGCTGATAATGGGAAAGCTGATTAAAGCTGGCCCAGTGACATTTTTCAGATGGCTGAGAAATGAGAAATATATTCTCCCCTTCACAGTTTTATGTCTCATTGGTATGAATTGATACATTATTTTGCTAAAGACATGAGTCTGTAGTCCATGTAGCAGGGTGTTTATATTTCTAATTCTAAACTACTCTTTTTTTCCAAATCCCAAATAATTTTACTAAAATAAAAATTATATCTCATTACTGAAATCATAAGAATGAATTA